GTGCTGAGTTCTGCATCAAAAGTGACATTTCAAGATCTGTCTTGAAATACAAAGCTGTCTGTGATATACAAAGAAATCCAATCAATACAACTATTATTCAAATTTATGCACTAACCACTAAAACTAACACTGTAGAAATTGAAGGATTCAGTCCAAAATTGATCAAACAAGCCATCAAGGTGCACTGATGATTATCAGCGACTGTAATGCAAAAACTGGAAGCAAAGGAGGAGGAAAGACAAATGGACGATTATGTCCTAGGTGACAGGCGAAGACCAGATGGACTGACAGGACTGCAGCAAGGGCTCAAACAGAAGGACACTTGTGAGGACGGCGCAGGGCAGGCAGTGTGTCCCTCTGTTGGACAGTGCTACGACAAGTCAGAGCCAACTGGTGGCACCTAATAACAACACGGGTAACCAATCAGTGGTGATGGTAGAATTTATACCTTTTCATAAAGGCCAGATCTCAAAACTATTAGTTTCTATGTAGCTTTTTCCAATAACCTACTGGAGAATTACAGTTAAAGTTCAATTCCATCCGATTGAAATTAAGAAAAAAAACAAGATGACGTAGACTTCTGGAAAGAGGGAAATCCAACATGGGAAATCTAGGGTAATCATCAGACTGGTGATAAAGCGAAGGCCTACAGAACAGATGTGTAGATGGCTGTCCTCAGTGTCCGAGTGGATTCTGACTCAAAGTAATCAAGACTGCGAATCTTTATGGAAGCAGATCGCCTCATCTTTCTTCCACACAGCAGCTTGTGAATTTGAACCACTGGCCTTACAAAAAGCAGCCTAACACACCTAACCCGGTAAGTAACCAAGGTTCTTTGTTCAAGGTTGAGAAGACAATAAATCCAAATTAAGAATGTGTCCCTGGTGCTAAATCTGTTATTCTACCTGTTGTCCATGGGTATGCTTGGGTCTTCCCTGTGGCCCCTGTAATTAAAGTATTTTCTTTTGACAAAAAAAAAAAAAGAATGTGGCAAAAGATCCAAGAGAGCTATTTTCAGGAGAAAGGAAATAGGGAAATTAGTTAACAGGTTTACAAATAAAGAATTCTATATTGAATAATATTTTACAAAGGTACTGGAGCATGTGGAAAAT